AAAGGGGGGGTTGTTCTGGGTGGGTGGGTTTTTTTAATCTGGGGAACCGGGGGGAGCCGGACGTGCAGAGGGCGGTGGGATCTCTAACACCCTTCGCCCTTTTCGGCAGCTGTCCCGGACCGGGTCGCGCTCCTGGCCCTGCGCAGATAAGAGAAGAAGCTCTTATCCCCCCCCCCCACACACACACACATACAATGCTCCCTCTAAGCAGTGGAGTCTTGTGAGCAAAAATCCTACTCTGTGAGCCGCTGGCATGAAAATCGTGAGCGAGCGATTTGGCCGCGGCGCCGATGAGTTTGCTCCGGAGGCATCCTTCCTGAGCGAAGACGAAAACGCGTGAGCCGGAGGCTAAAAAAACCGTGAGCTGGCTCACACTAACTCCGCTTAGAGGGAGCACGCCCCCCCCCTTTCTCGGAAGGTGTGGTCCCTTGGACCCCCAGGGACGGAGCGGCGGCCTCTTGGATCCCGCTTGAGAAGGACTGTCCTAGGAAGGGTCCCGAGTACCTTCACTGGGCCGGCTTCTATGACCCCGGAGCGCACCTTATCCGTGGGAAACCGTGCGCCCTAGGCGGGTCTGGGATGGCTTCGTTTCAGCTCCGGGGTTCTAGTGGGTGAAAGCGAGGAACGCGAAATCAGGGGAGACTAGGAGGAGGAGGAGGGCGGCGCGGGGCAGAGACGGTGGCCCGGTGGATAGAAGCTGGGACAGGCGTTTGCGAGGGCAGCGGGGTGCTTTTTTGCGCACACGGAGCTCTTAAGAATCCAGCCCGTTTCTTTGCGGGGAGGGAGACCGGGGAAATTCTTGGGACTCCTGCAGCAACAAAAGACTCGTCCCGGGGCGCCTTAGAGACTCACGGAGCCGGCTTCTTTTGTCTTGGCTGCAACGGAGAGGAACACAATTCCTCCCACCTGGGACTTGGGAACCCTACAGAAATCCTACTGTAAGGGATAGCTTTACAAAACTCTCTCTCTCTCTGTGTTGGGGTCTCTCTCCGCTTCTCTCTCTCTCCGCTTCTCTCTCTCTCTCACACACACTCACACACACTCACACACACACACACACACACACACACACACACACACACACACGGGGAGGGCAAGGGGGAGAGAGTTAATCTAGACCACAAAAAAAGACTCCATGGTGCAGTTGTGTAGTGGTTAAATGCATGGATTCTAATCTGGGAGAACCGGGTTTGATTCCCCACTCCTCCACTTGCACCTGCTGGATGACCTTGGGCAAGCCATAGTTCTGATGAGAGCTGTTCTTGAAAAAGAGCCGTTTCTCTCAGAGCTCTCTGAGCCCCACCTACCTCACAGGGTGTCTGTTGTGGGGAGGGGAAGAGAAAGGAGTCTGTAAGCTGCTCTGAGACACCTTTGGGTAGTGAAGGGTGGGGTATAAATCCTATCTCTTCTCTTCTTCTTCATCTATGCCTTTGAGCCTCTGGCCAGTTTGGTGTAGTGGTTAGGAGCCTGGACTCTAATCAGGGAGAACCGGGTTTGATTCCCTCACTCCTCCACAAACAGCTGCTGGTGTGACCTTGGGTCAGTCACAAGTTCTCTCAGAGCTTTTCTTTCAAGAGCAGTCCTGGAAGGAGTTCTCTCAGCCCCGCCTACCTCACAGGGTGCCTGTTGTGGGGAGGGGAAGGGAAAGGAGTTTGTAAGCCGCTCTGAGACTCCTTTGGGTAGTGAAGGGCAGGGTATAAACCCAATCTCTTCTTCCTCTTCTTCTCCTCCACTTGCACCTTGGGCAAGCCATAGTTCTGACAAGTGCTGTCCTTGAAAAAGAGCAGTTTCTGTCAGAGCTCTCTCAGCCCCACCTACCTCACAGGGTGTCTGTTGTGGGGAGGGGGAGGGAAAGGAGATTGTCAGCCACTGTGAGACTCCCTTGGGTAGTGAAGGGCGGGGTATAAATCCAATCTCCTCTTCTTCTTCTTCTACCTCACAGGGTGTCTGTTGTGGGGAGGGGAAGGTAAAGGCGTTTGTAAGCCGCTAGTGAAGGGCGGGGTATAAATCCAATCTCTTCTTCTTCCTCTACCATTCACTTCTATCCTCTCTGGCCCGAAAGCAACCATGCCCCCCACTCACCCCACAGCCCAGCTTCCTTGTATATGCAGGTTGGTCACTTCGTGGGACTCGTTCCTGCAGCTTCTTTGCCAGCAGGGCATGCCTGCACTTTAGAAGTTTGTCTCTGCTGTGCACTTCAGCGTGGGTGGGTATGCAGTGCATGCATGCGCCTGTTTCCAGACTTGCCTGGTCTTGTCAACCTCTTGGAAGCTAAGCAGAGTTGGGCCTAGTTAGCATTTAGATCTGTGACCACCAAGGAATACCAGGGGCATGACGCAAAGGCAGGCAATGGCAAACCACTTCCGAATATCGGCCCTGCCCGGGATGGCCCAGGCTGGCCCTGTTTCATTGGAAGCGAAGCGGGTTCTGCTCAGTCCATAGGTGATTCTCAGATCTTGCTGCATTTATAGTTACTCATGGTGTTAGTTTTCTTGGGAGTATTGGATGAGGTCTGCCGCTTTCCCCCCCAAATCTGTCCGGTAGTCACGGCTGCGCACCCACTCTGCAGTGGGTGCTCTCGCTCAAGTTTGCTTTGCGATGATCCGGACTTCTACCTGCTTGCCGCCGCTCACGGGGAGCCCAGATCAAGTCCCCTGCTTGGGCTCCTCTCCGGGGAGCCCAAAGGAGTTTGGGTAGCCCCAATCCCCTCTGGGAAACCTGGCGATCCGGCAGCAACATGGGGAGCTCGTCCCGGTGCGACCGTCCTCGCCGCGCTGAAAACCGGAAGTCTGGAGATTGGATTTATACCTGCCCTTCGCTGCCCAAAGGAGTCCCAGAGCAGCTTACTGTCTCCTTTCCCTTCCCCTCCCCACAACAGACACCCTCTGTGAGGAAACACCCTGGACTCCTCTGCCCAGGTGACTCATCCAAGCAAGCTCAACCACATGCCAAACTCTTTAAAAAATATATCACTTCCCGATTGCCAGTAGAGCAATTAAAATCCACACGCAGGCATATATCAAAGCTGGGTTTCAAAAAAAAACAACCCAACCTTTTATCACTCAAGTTGCCAGCGCCACGATATGATTCACAGCTGACCAAATGAAGAGGATGGGAAGTAAAGACCGGGCTGGACCTTCCAGGGATAAGAGTTTTGTGCGGCCTCCTCTGTGGGTCCCCTGCGAGACCCCAGGTCTCTGCTTGGCCAGAGTTGGCCGCTCAGGGCACATTCACCATGCCAGATCAGATGTCCAAAGCCCCACAGGTAATATGAGGTGCACATGGCTTCGCTTGTTTGTAACCTTTTAAGGCTGGTTTGCCCCCCTTCTCCACAGTTCAAACAATTTACACGGAATAAAAGCACAGTTTAAAATATCACCTGAATTGGAATGCCACACATCCAGCTTAACTGGGGAAAAAAGGCTATCCAAACATGACTTTGACCGGCTTGGTTGCTATTGGAAAGAAGACTAGGGTGGAGTAGGGAAGAAGAAGAAGAAGAGGAGGAGGAAGAGGAGACTGGATTTATACCCTGCCCTTCACTACCCAAAGGAGTCTCAGAGCAGCTTACAAACTCCTTTCCCTTCCCCTCCCCACAACAGACACCCTGTGGGGTAGGTGGGGCTGAGAGAGCTCTGACAGAAACGGCTCTTTTTTCAAGAACAGCTCTGACAGAACTACGGCTTGCCCAAGGTCATCCAGCCAGGTGCAAGTGGAGGAGTGGGGAATCAAACCCAGTCCTCCCAGATTAGAGTCTGCACACTTAACGATTACACCAAACTGGTCTGTACCTGCAGGGATCTGTTTATGTTCTTTAGTTGGAGGTGTGACCTTGGATCAGTCCCAAGTTCTCTCAGAGCTGTTCTCTCAAGAGCAGTCCTCGAAAGAGCTCTCTCAGCCTCACCTACCTCACATAGGGTGTCTGTTGTGGGGAGGGGAAGGGAAAGGAGATGCCACTCTGAGACTCCTTTGGGTAGTGAAGGGCGGGGTATAAATCCAATCTCCTCCTCCTCCAATCTCCTCTTCTTCTTCTCCTTCTCACCTGAATCTATCTTCTTTGGGGTTCCAGAGTTAAGTAGTTCTTACATGCATCTGAACAGGTAAAGTCAAGCCCGGTAGCATCTTAGAGACGGAGAAGATTTTCGAGGTAGAAGCTTTTGAGCATTAAAAGATCCGAGACAGGGAGCTTGAACTCTCAGGGGCTTTTACTTCAAAAATCTAATCTTGTCATCTTCTTTTTCTCGTGACCTTATGAAAGGTGGTGGTGGAAACTGCCGTCAAGTTATCACTCTTAGCGACCCCATAGGGATTTCAAGGCAAGGGACATTCAAGGGTGGTTTGCCCTGGCCTGCCTCTGCATAGCAACCCTGGACTTCCTTGGTGGTCTCCCGTCCAAGCACAACCGTGGGCTGACCCTGCCTTAGCCTTTGAGATCTGACGAGATGAAGCTAGGACTATGAAAGGCAATGAACGGGTCCGAGAAGTGACAGAACTTGGCATTAGCAACGCTCCCTCTAAGCTCTGGAGACTTCTGAGCAGGGGGCATTTCCTGCAGGAGCGCACAGTAGCGGAGCTCCTGCAGTAAAGAGCCCAGGGGGCGGGAACATGCAACAAGCCCCGCCCCCTGCTCCCAGCAGCCCTCAGTCAGAGCAAGAAGCAGCCAGGTAAGCTGCAGAGCCCTCCCACCTCCCTCCAAGACAGTCCAGTGGCACCTTTAAGACCAAGTTTTATTCAGGTACAAGATCTCCCTCCTCTGCGACGACAGATCTGCACGTCCACCCCCCCAATAGCTAGCAATCCAAAACAGTCCAGTGGAGCCTGAGCGGTGGGTGTTGTCTTCTGACACACTTCCGGTGAGGTCAGGAGGTGTGGCATATGCCAATGAGCCATGCTACTGAGCTCC